ACAATATAGCTGCCCTGTAAATGTGACAGGCACGTTGTCCTAGCCTGCACCGCCTAGTTTAAGCATGTTTCTTTTTAAGAAATGCCAAGCCCAAAGTCTCAACATGTGAGAGTGTTCATGAGACTGCTTAACTCACAGAAGGCTTGCCGGGTAAAAATAGGTGCTGTGAACTGATCCCAAGGCAAACTCTTCTTGTTGTTGAACTCTGAAACTCAACTTTACCTTTGATTTAATCTGTGCATTCTGTTCCATCATTGAATACAGCAAACATAATAACAACTTGTAATTTTCTTATTTGTACCCCACCCATCTGGCTGGGTTGCCACAACCATTCTGTATTCTGCACCTCTTTCAGATTTTACTATCCCTCTCCTTCTCCAATCTGCCTGCTTTCAGAATTGAGGCCAAAAACAGTTTCCTTGTTCATTGTTAGATTTACTGAAAGTAATTAAGAGGTTTTTTATATCTGGGAATCTCAGTAATAGAATCATAAAGTTGAATGCAATATAGAGTAATAATAGGTTTTATTACTGTGGTTTTAGATTAGCTCCTAGATACCAGCCTTGTTTCAGCTGCAATTATTGGATGGCCTTGAGTGAATTGCCTCAGCTTCAGATTCCTAAATCTGGGCTCTTATAAAAAAAAAAATTGAACAAACCAGTTTGCAGCCTGGATGTGCATTCTTACTCCTTATCTAAGAGCTGCTGTATCATAATACCGATACATATTGCACAGATTTGCACATTTACTTTATTATTTCTTTTAGATGTCTCTCCTACTTTCTTTTTATATAATATATATAAATAGCTTGTTGACTATATGGCATTTAGTTTGGAAGATTCTGGTTGTAAATATGCTTCAGGGTGTGGCATTGATTTCCTAGGAAACTGCAGTTTGTGATCTTTTTCCTGTAGAAATATTTCTACATGCACGTGACTAGTATTGTGCAAATTTCCCAGAAGTAATGCATGTGATTCAGAGAAAAGGGAATAATATGTCTCTGGTAAACAGCTTGCTGAGAGTTTGGTCACCCTCTTAGTTCCGTTTCAAATAAAATGCATGTGCGCCTGTGCTTTCTAAACAAGGAGCTGAGACTCTGATCTTTCACATACTTCCCTGTCTCTTAAATAGATACTATTTTGAGTAATGCATGAGGTATGTTAATCACAAATCTGGCTGTATTATTATTTTTTATGGAGCAATAAACCATTATGTGAAATCAGACGAGATTGAAGAATAAGTGTTATGCAACATAGAGTAATATACTTTGCAGCTTGTGCCAGCCATCGACATTTTCCAGCATAACTGTTAAATATATACTGTACAGTGGTACCTCGGGTTAAGTACTTAATTCGTTCCGGAGGTCCGTACTTAACCTGAAACTGTTCTTAACCTGAAGCACCACTTTAGCTAATGGGGCCTCCTGCTACTGCCGCGCCGCCGGAGCACGATTTCTTTTCTCATCCTGAAGCAAAGTTCTTAACCTGAAGCACTATTTCTGGGTTAGCGGAGTCTGTAACCTGAAGCTTATGTAACCTGAAGCGTATGTAACCCGAGGTACCACTGTATATATCTGAGACATATTGTCTGGGCTTACCTTGTTTTTGTAGTGGGAGGGGGAAAGAACCACCCTCATGTAACCTAATGGCTCAGAATCCTCTTCCTTCCCCAGTTCTCAGATTTTAAAGGTTTGGCCTCAGATGTTGCTGTCAGAATATAACCACAACTTAATCAAAAATGTATCAGCAACAGTTTTGAAATTGATCAGAAGTAGGCATTCCTGGAATGGGCATGATGTGTATACCCAGCTCAACTGTGTTTCTTTGGTTGCTGGAATCCTAGCAGCATTGAGACCATTGTTATAGCAAGTTATGTGTGCTGGCCTCTTGCAAACCATAACAGGTTCTGCTCCAGTTGCAACCACAGGATGGATCCCAGCCTGACATTCTTCTTCAACAACTCATACCTGCACGCTAGCTAAGAAGATAAAAAGACTCTTAAGAGCCCTGCAATTCTAGTATACACACACAGAGTGGCTTGAGCTGCAAAACTCAGTTTGGTGTCCTTTCATGCCTGCACATGAGGCATTGCAGGCTGACCCTTGTAACACTTCTAGCGTGCAGAGGGCTTCCTAATCTCTGTCTCATTAATCCTCGCATCTGTGTTATAGGTCATTTTTTCCAGTTTCCAAGCACAGAAACTTGATTGCTCAAGGCTACCAATAGCTGAGGAGAGAGATATGAGCTCCAATTTCCCAGGTTCTAAGTCCAACTTTCTTTCCAGTGTGGACATCTGCCACGCTGTCATTTTGTCTCAGAGCATCTTTTTGAAATAATTTAAGTCCACCATTTTCTAATTAGGGATTGCCAACATGGCACCAGTATCTCCTATTCTTCCCATGAAAAATCAGTAAATATCTTTTCTACAATGCGCAGTGTGCAAGAATCTGTTTGCTCTTCCTGCTCAGTACCTGTTTGCACTGACTTGGCCTCTCCTACATTGAATATGCCCACATTTCATCGGATGCCAAAACTGGACACCTACCATCCCATCTGTTGTGAACAGACGAAAGGTGCTAAGAATTTCTTTCTGTGAACAAGCACTGGAGTGGCTAGTGTAGGCACTTTTCACATTGAGATGGAGGACACGGCTGCACCATTTTGTAGTCCTGTCTCTTTCTTTGCTCTTGTAAATGTGGCGGCCATTTTGTGGCTTCCCCCTCGCTCCAAACAACATCTGTTTTGTGACTGCTACCTATGGCACTTCCTCATAATTCCAAATGTGTTCACTGGTCCAAAAAGGTTGCCAGTGTCATGTCCCAACTGCAGAGGCATTATTTCAAGTGATACAAAATGAGTATCCAAAATAATCCTGGATTAAGGTGTGCCGTGGCTACAGAGATACCATGTAATTCCTCAGAACATGTATGCGATCATTGAAACAACCAGAGCTAATTAACCCATCTGATTTGAAGAGCAGACAAGACACACCTGCCCACTTTATGTACAAGGTAATGTGTGGTTTGGTCACTGGATGCAAGTCCATTTTCTTGCAGTCCTTCAAATCTTACTCCGCAGAACATGCACAGGGTATTTCCCATCTTGTATTTAAAAAGCAGAATTGTGAAATTCTGCTGAAAGTTGTGCATTTTTGCACATAAAGCACTTCACGTTCCTGCATCTTCTTCTCCATCCACATTAGTCACACCAGTCTGCTTGGAGTTAACTTTGATTCTACTGAATTGTTTGGTCACCACCTCTTGTCTCTCTTCGCTGAAAATATGCCCGATAGCCTATTAATGTCACACAACTCGTGTGAACATCTGTAGCAGCCCCTCTTTACTCAACAGTAGTTGCCTTCCCACCAGCACTAATCTACATGCACAATAACTGCAGTGTCTACACAGGCTGCAAAACTTTGGTTTTTCTGATAGCGTTCTGACACAAGAGGCCATGTTGTCCTCTGAAATGACCTCTTCCTATCCTGAAATGCTCAAGATGTTGGTATTGGTAGCCCTAATAGATAGATAGATAGATAGATTCTTTATTGTCATTACACAAGTGCAACATTGCACAAGTGCAACGAAATTGGATGCCATCCCTTAAAAACAACAAAAGCAAAACAACAACAACAACCAAACAAACCACCTTCCAACCACACCCACACCCACACCCATCAAACTCCCAGGTCTCACTATCGAGTTACAGCATTCAAAAAGGCCACAGCTCTTGCCACAATACTCAGCGATGGAAATATATCCACAACCATTCAGTTGCTTGATATTCAAGGAGTTGCGCTGCACTGTTTCACTAGTTATTTACAGCTGTATACATGGAAAATGCATTGCCCATTTTGGAGTGTGCATCATTGTACAAGGGAAAGAAATGCTGTTGGCTTTCTGTTTCCTTGACATCTGTGAGATGCATATGAACATAAGACGAGCTTGCTGGATCATTCCAGTGGCCCATCTAGCTCAGTTTCCTGTTCTCACAGTGGCTACCAGATGCAGTCATGGGTATGAGTCTTGACTGGGCCATGCGCACTTAAGAGATAGGTTTCTATGACCAGCAAGCATCTTGCTCAGATGTGTAATACGCAAATGTTTCTCCCGCTTGGCAAATGAGTTGTGAACATTTCATGAAGTTTTAAGGTTCACCGATTGTCGTTGGTTTTCTTGTCTATTCAGTTATTTGTTTATTGCTTTGACATCTGGTGGCTGTCTACCAGCTCTACCTGGTACGCAGGGTAAGACCCTAACTGCCCGCAGACTGTCTAGCCAGAGTGGTGCATGCTCTGGTTATCTCCCGCTTGGACTACTGCAGTGCGCTCTACATGGGGCTACCTTTGAAGGTGACCCAGAAACTGCAATTAATCCAGAATGCGGCAGCTAGACTGGTGACTGGGAATGGCCGCCAGGACCACATAACACCGGTCCTGAGAGAGCTGCATTGGCTCCCAGTACGTTTCCGAGCACAATTCAAAGTGTTGGTGCTGACCTTTAAAGCCCTAAATGGCCTCGGTCCTGTATACTTGAAGGAGCATCTCCACCCCCATCGTTCAGCCCGGACACTGAGGTCCAGCACCGAGGGCCTTCTGGCAGTTCCCTCACTGCGAGAAGTGAGGCTACAGGGAACCAGACAGAGGGCCTTCTCGGTAGTGGCGCCTGCCCTGTGGAACGCCCTCCCACCACATGTCAAAGCAATAAATAACTATTTTACTGAAGGCAGCCCTCTTTAGGGAAGTTTTTAATGTCTAATGCTGTACTGTTTTTAACATTCAGTTGAAAGCCGCCCAGAGTGGCTGGGGGAACCCAGCCAGATGGGCGGGGTATAAATAATAAATTATCATTATTATATTCTCTTCTCGGACGTTAGTGTCACCGTGCTAATCACTCCAAGTCTTTATAAAAGACTGCCCTGGAGTTTCTTGACTCTTTGGCTTGTTCTAGCAGATGGATTCTAAGTGTTAAATGTGTTTGGCATCTCTCCATCTGTTGACAGTTATTCTGACAGATGAAGAGGTTCAGAGGAAAAGAGAGATGATAATGAAGAGGAAGGAAGAGGAAGCCCTGAAAGAGAGCCTAAAGCCCAAATTGTTGGAGGAGCAACAGCGGACCATCGATATCCTCCTGGAAGCCCACCGCAAGACCTATGATTCCACGTACTCTGATTTCAACCAATTCCGGGTAAGCTTCAGGCCCCACTTTCCTTCTGACTTCATTAGGGCTGTGACTAGTAGGACATCTGCTGGTGGAATAAGTAAATTGAAGCAGTAGTTCTGAATCAGCGAAACCTTTGCTCCCTTCTCACTTGGAAGAAAGTAACATGCAGCCTGCAAACTGAAGCCAGTTAGGTAGACCCGTAATCTACCTGCTGTGAGTGAACTACAGTCATACCTCGGGTAAAATGTGCTTCAGGTTGAGCGCTTTCATGTTATGCTCCGCGGCGACCCGGCAGTAACGGAGCGTGTTACTTCCAGGTTTTGCCGCTCATGCATGCACAGACACTCAAAATGACCCGCGCACACACAGTCGCGGGTTGCATTCGCTTCAGGATGCAAACGGGGCTCCGGAACAGATCCCGTTCACATCCAGAGGTACCACTGTATATGATATTTCCTTACCTTTGCCTTTGGAACTGGCAGGTGGTGCTGTGGTCTAAACCACTGAGCCTTGGGCTTGCCGATCAGAAGGTCGGCGGTTCGAATCCCTGCAACGGGGTGAGCTCTGATTGCTTGGTCCCAGCTCCTTCCCACCTAGCAGTTCGAAAGCACATCAAAGTGCAAGTAGATAAATAGGTACCACTCCAGCGGGAAAGTAAATGGCGTTTCCGTACGCTTCTCTGGTTCGCCAGAAGCAGCTTAGTCATGCTGGCCACATGACCTGGAAGCTGTCTGCGGACAAACGCCGGCTCCCTCGGCCAGTAAAGCGAGATGAGCGCCGCAACCCCAGAGTCAGGGTCCCTTTACCTTTACCTTTAAGAGAAGCTTTTGAAACGTTGGCATTCATAATTTTTTTTGGTGCCTTGTCAAATGCCATAATTAACATGTGCGCTGAATCAATATGATCTGGTTGCGGGTGAGGTGCTCATAGCCTCTGAGCCTGCTGCTTGTTTTTGAAGGCCTAATTGTGAAGCCACTTATTCCATTGGACAGTGTGGATACCAGAATGCCAGGCTTCTGGTGGGGAGGTGTACCATTTAGCCACCTGTTGGCACATCTTCCCAAGCTGCACTCACGTCCTGAAACAGCTGTTTTCCTCAGTTCTGAGGAAGAAAGAGCAGGGAGGAGAAAGCACTTGTGGCTGAGGCAGCCACAACTCCTTCCTGTTTGGTAAGAAACTAGTGAAACAGCTGGGAACTAGAGCTCAGCTTTGGGGTTTGAGTGACGCACGTAAGAGCTAGGGAGAAGAGCTGGGGCAGAGAGAGAAGTGGGGGAAAGAGAACCAGCTCTGTCTGACTCATGGTTTTGACAACTTGGAGCTGGTAACACTTGTTGTTTTGTACTACTTCCCAATAGACTTCCGCCTCTCCTCTCTCTGCCAGCTGATAATATTCTAAGCAAAACAAATGTCTCCACCATGGGATTATCGCTTCCAAGTACCCTTCAGCTCCTGGCCCCACCCTGAAAATGACACAAATGTGATAGTTACAGATAGGTAGCCGTGTTGGTCTGCCATAGTCAAAACAAAAAAATTCCTTCCAGTAGCACCTTAAAGACCAACTAAGTTAGTTCTTGGTATGAGCTTTCATGTATCTGAAGAAGTGTATCTGAAGAAGTGTGCATGCACACGAAAGCTCATACCAAGAACTAACTTAGTTGGTCTTTAAGGTGCTACTGGAAGGAATTTTTTTGTTTTGACAAATGTGATAATTAAATATCTTACACGATGTGAGTTGGCATTTGCAGATGCCTTTTCAATGTTCACATACATAAGATGCTAAATACATCAAATCATATTTGCTGTGGCTTTCTGGCTCATAACATGCTCTCTCTCTCTCTCTCTCTGTGTGTGTGTGTGTGTGTGTGTGTGTGTGTGCGCGCGCGCGCGCTTTCTAAGTCTGCCTTTCTACATTACCGTAGAAATTAGCCATGTTGGGGCAAAATCATGGTACATCAGAAACATTTTTACCTAGGGGGAACCGTTAAGCTTAAGGAAATGGGTTGACAGGGTAAATGAATTAGGCAAAATTTAAAAGAAGTCAAACATAGTGGGTGGGAGTTTATAAAAGTATTCTGTATCAATCTGGCCCCAATTCCCATTTAGTTCATTGGTGGAAAAGCTCTAAGGATATTTTAGAGATGTAAAACCAGTGCTTATTTTCTGGAGGGATGCAGGGACCCCTAAACATTTTGTGAATCTAAGTTTGGCCTCATTGAGGAGCAGTATTTCAATATGAGTAGGAAAATGAGAGTACCCCTAAACATTATATATATATATTTTTAGAAAAAAGCACTGTGTAAAACCGTTCTTTTTTCCTTAGCAAGGGGCCCTTGTCAGTGCACAAATTTACCAGCAAATAGAACTAAAGTGTTGGGGTCAGACAGAGATGTTATTTGAAAAGAGCAATTGACAAATAGTTGGAATGGTACCCTTTTTTGTTTCAGCCTCCTGTGAGACTTGATTCCGGCAGAAGAAGCACAAGCAGATCTTCCTCTCTTATGTCACAAGGTTTCTCTTCTTCAGAAGACTCTTCAGACACTTTCAGCTCTTCCCCAGGTAATGTGAAGATTGCCAAATGACCTCTAGGCCCACAGCAAACAAATCCAGGAATGTTATCTCCAGCTATGGATTTGTTTTTCTCATCTGCCAGATTCAGTTTCCCGTTGTCTTGTAGATCAGAGCTCCTTAGGATGCACAGCCCATTGGCCTCTCATCTTGTGTCTCAGTTGCTGAACTTGAATCCTCCTTCACAGAAACCTTTAATACATTTGTTAAAGCTGGCCTTTTTAAAGCCTTAATTTTTGATTTAAGAAACAAAAAAACCCCTACATCTGAAATTAAAATTTTAATCTGTGTGCTTTCCCCTCTATCTTGCAGAGCCCAGGATGTTATCGAGTGTGGAACTCAGTGATGACAGCGATGAAAGTGCAACCATGTCCATGGACTTCTCACACCTCTCTATGCTGCCTCACGTGGCCGACCTTGTTAGCTACAGCATCCAAAAAGTGATTGGATTTGCAAAAATGATTCCAGGGTTCAAGTAAGGATGCTTGCTTTGTTTTTTCAGAATGGTTCTATGTGTTTTCCTTCCCTTGAATGTATTGTGTGTGTGTTTAATACATTTGTTTTAAAAATTGTACCACACCACACAGCTTCCAGAAGGAGACTTCTGGGTTGGTTGCAACAAAAATAAAAAATTGAAAAACTAAACAGTGTCAATAAAAACATACAGGAAATCATTTCCCCAGGAGAACGGTATATTTCAACTCAATAAGTTTAGGAACTTAGAATACATTTTCCCAGCTGCCTTCTATGACCAGACATAATTTGAGTAAATCCTTCAATATGGCTGTGAGCCAGAACATCAATGTCATTAATGCCTCTGCTGCTCGCTCTCCTCGTCCATTTAGCCTGCAGTAAGGTTGCTTATTAAGAAATCGCATTGTAAATTGAGCATTAATGGAGCTGTTACATGATCATTCTGACACATGGCTCAGTTGAATGACGATTTCCTCAGCTTCTATCTGCCCGCACATTGCAGGATGTGCATCAGTTATGACTTGACATGATTGAACTTAAGCTGCTCCTATCTACTGGACAGCACTGCACTCCCACAATGAAGAGCAATGGTCATGTCAAGCCGGGAAATTTAACTGAGCTCACAGTTGGAGTTTATGAGTTGTGCATGGATTACTCAGCACTTGATGGCTCTTAACCCAATATGTGGGCTATTTACATTGAAAAGTATTGTACAAGAATTGGGGGATACAATTCACATATGCTACAGTCAATGTGTTATGGGCACAAACGGGTGAACCGACCCATAGTGTTTTGCACATGGTTTTTCAGAGGAGACTGGAGGCTGACATTCAGAGGGTTGAGTAAATGAGATCAATGAAATGATAAAGTGCACAATTGTTCACTGAGTGAGCTCCTTTGAGTATCACACAGCAAACTGTAGTTCTGGAAGGAAGCAAATAATCAGTTCTAACCCCTATATAATGGAGTGTTATGATGCTGGATGCTTTGAGGTTTCAGATATATATTCTCTCTTCCCTAAATGTAGAGATCTAACAGCGGAGGACCAGATTGCTCTACTGAAATCCAGCGTCATTGAAGTAATTATGCTCCGTTCAAATCAGTCATTTTCACTGGACGATATGTCCTGGACCTGTGGCAGCAATGACTTCAAATACAAAATCAGCGATGTCACTCAAGGTACAGTAGTGTGAATGGTGTAAGATTCCAGTCAAGCACAAGGCTGCTCTGGAGCAGCCACCGAAATGAGCTTCTCTCATCTTGATTTGCTTACAATTAATATTAGGTATTATTATCCCTAGAAGATACAACTCAAGGCCTACAGAAGGCCAAAGTAATGCAAAAGTTAGGATAAGTACAATCTGTGAGGTAGTGGTCCAATGATTTGCTTAATTTATTGATTAAAATATTTATATATTGCTTTTTGGGTTCTGCAAAATGGTTTGCAAAATATAATTTGGGAAATAATGGATGTTATGTGATGAATCCAAGAATGAGGGAGAGTTATGTTTCTCACTTAGTCTATTGATATTTTGGAACCAATTCATGTGATTGCCTTTTCAGGTTTTTCCCCAACTGTGAAGACACCATTGAGTCATTACAGTTAGGCAACTGGGTACGGAGGCGGGCCATTTCATTGCTTCATAATGGACTCACTTCCAGCTTTTAGCATGCCACTACAAACACTAGCAAAAAACAGTGTTGTGTGACGTGTTCAATAAAAAGCTGGGTGCCTGTTTCAGCATTCAGACAACCACTTTGCCATCTCTGTTCTCCACCTGCAGAAAGTCAAAAGTAACTTCTCCAGCATGGAGAAAGTGGGAAGTTCAAAAAGCATTCATATAAATTGGTCCTTATAAGTAATGGGTGAATCGTCAGTTTGGGTATTCTGTTCACATCAACATGTGCAGTGCCTGCAGCCCATCATATCCATCTTATTTATAATTCTCAAACCCCTAGTTATTTGAAAAAGTCATGGCACTTGCAAAATGGAGCCAAAGTCACAGAACTGGAGGTGTCAGAATGTATCATTGCTAGCCAACCCTGAAATGGCCGGGAGATAATTTAGTGAAATCATACCTAAGTGACTTGCAGGCTGATTATGCTTCATTTTGATGGAGGGAGTGTGCAAACACCAGCTCTCGCATCAGAAGAGAAAGCTCTTGACCCTTCATAGTTCCTGAACGTGTGAGTAGAAATGGTAACAAGGCATCTGAAGATATATATTCTTTGTACAGCCTTGGTATTCATTTTGTACCCGAACAGAAGTGGAAGTTTCCAGAACTGGAGCGTTTCCTGTTCTGAAAGGAGGATAGTATTATCGTGCCAACTGAGCATGAGTGAGCTCGTCTCTTTTGTGAGGTCTCCAGGCAGGATTGGCTGACCAGTCCACGTGTGAATTTATCTTTAATTTTGCTTCTTGCTCTGTTTCACGTTAGCTGATAAATCTATCAAGAATCTAGAGCCTGCCTCTCAAAAGGGTTTTTATGTTTCTGTTTCAGCTGGGCATAGCCTGGACTTGCTTGAGCCCCTTGTTAAATTTCAGATCAACCTGAAAAAGCTGAACCTGCATGAAGAAGAACATGTTCTCCTCATGGCCATCTGCATCCTTTCTCCTGGTAAGAGAAACCTTTGCCTTTTCCGGCTGTGTTTTAATTGTAGATTAAAACCAGCACCAACCACGGGGGGCATCTACAAGCCAGCCACTTCTGGGATATAATTTCTATATAGGAAATAACATGCACAGTGGTGTATGCTGTCCTGTGTGAAAGAATGCAAGCATCTGCTTTGCCACAATTACATTTTGAGTGATGGGTGTACATGGAAGGAAAAATCTAAGCCATATGATTGGATTTTGTTCTGGGGTTTTTTAACTATCCCTTCCACAGAGCAGAACAAATGTATCCTTAAAGGTAAAGGTAAAGGGACCCCTGACCATTAGGTCCAGTCGTAACCGACTCTGGGGTTGCGGTGCTCATCTCGCTTTACTGGCCGAGGGAGCCGGCGTACAGCTTCTGGGTCATGTGGCCAGCATGACTAAACCGCTTCTGGCGAACCAGAGCAGCGCACGGAAACGCCGTTTACCTTCCCACCGGAGTGGTACCTATTTATCTACTTGCACTTTGACGTGCTTTCAAACTGCTATCCTTACCCTTTGGCAAATATTGAGAAGCTGTAGCCTCTCTGTCTGCCCTGTCCCTGCTCCGCACCTTCTCTGAGTATTTTTGCCTGGGCTGGAATGTTTCCTTGAACCAGGGATGGTGCCGCTTGCTTGCTTGCTTGGATGGAGAGAGTCACTTCTGACTTTTGCATGGCTGGAATGTAAACTGCTGTACAAAAATAAGAGTCTCATCCATTGCTCCACCCACTTTTTTGCTGTTTGCCAATGTCATGGGTTCCTCAGAAGAAAAATGGCAGCTGGGAAAGCTTCCCCACCTGCTATAAAAGCTGCAAAAGGAAAGAGATGGCTGCTTTCTTCAATAAGTTAAGAACAATCAGCAGGGGCAGTAAGAAAGTAACATGAGCCTCAGCTCTGATAATTGCATAAAACACAACCTAAGCTGCATTCAGTGATCTGAACTGTTGCTCTTAAAGGCCCGATGCTCATTTTTCCCCCATACAAAAGAGACTTGGGCTGATATCTTCTGCTGCTTTATTTTAGCAGAAATGAAACATGGTATTTCACGATCCTCAAATCTTAATACTCCATTTCACGCCTCTGCTTTTGGCACATGGCATGAAACGTCTTAGAGGATGTGTGAGTGTAACTGTGCAAATTCAGCAATGTTTTGTAGACTTTTAAGAGCTGAGTTGGTAGCTCTGAGAGTAGTTGTGGGGATGCCCATAATAGGAAACTAGTATCAGACAGCATGGGCCGATTGTCGGGAACTAGCATTCAGAAGACAAAAGAGGGGAAAGGACAAACTTAGCCACAAGTAGAGGGAACAGAAGACTCTTGTTGTTTTTGTCTTTTTGCCTACCCTGGTCACTGGAGGTGTGTTTATGTTTTCTGTTCCTAGACCGCCCTGGCGTTCAGGACACGGCTCTGGTGGAGTCCATCCAAGATCATCTTTCAGCTATCCTGCAGACATACATTCTCTGCCGACACCCTCCTCCGGGCAACCGCTTGCTCTATCCCAAGATGATCCAGAAACTTGCAGACCTCCGGAGCCTGAACGAGGAGCATTCCAAGCAATATCGCTGCCTCTCCTTTCTTCCGGAGCACAGCATGCAGCTCACTCCGCTGGTCCTCGAAGTCTTTGGCAATGAGATCTCCTGACTCCGTGGCTGGGAATGAAACCTGTTGAAGTAAAGGGAGAAGTCAGCCCAGCTTCCTGCTGGTGGCAAACTGAGAGCTTTGGCCCAAGTTGAAGTTTTGTATATTCTGTCGGCAAGAGTTTTGATTTTTTTTCCTTTCCACACTACCAGAGGGACTGCATTGTTTGTATGTCTTCAGCCTCATATTTTGCATTGCTGCTGAGCAGCAATTCGCAAGCTAGCCCCTTCTCTCCTGCCTATCAAAACTAAAGAGCTTTCTCACTTGTTGCTTTGCCATGATGAAACCGCTTGTGGCTTTCTTCAATGTTGAGCTTTTCAAGCCAGCAACTGAAACGTCTGTGCTGTGTCTTAAATGGAAGGTGAATGGTTGAATAACAACTGGTGGAATTTAAGATTTGTGATGGATTGGACATGGGATATTCTTTCTTTTTAACACGTTGAGAGCTTTTGGTTCAGAATGGCTATAACATGCAGGGAAGAGTAACTGTTATTCTTGGTGCAAAATGTCAACTCCCCTCACCTCTCATAATTTTCTGCCAAACCTCAGAGCTCTTCAGTAATAGAAAAAGTATTTATTAACCTAAGAATAAACAGGAAAAACACAGGCTGTGTACACATTACCAGCTTAAAATGCAGCTAGGTTGCTCTTTTCCTTAATTTGGATCAAAGGTGATTTGGGGGGAAATGCATCAAAATGCAGGAGAGATGGAAGAGAGATACGGATTAAGATAATATTGTATGTACACCTCTTCCGAAACCAGTGGTGGGAGTGCATTGGCTGCAGAGTAAAATTGGGGGGGGTGTACACAGCCAAGTTTACAGGAATAAATAACCTGTGTCATCTTTCTGACTTTTTTTAAGTGTGTATAAATGTGCCTGGCACATTGTTGTCACTAAATAAATTTGTAATGGGAGGAAAATTATATTTGGCCTGTGACCTGGTGTAGACACTCTGGGAGTTGACTTTCTAATAGCCAAGCCCCTGCCTGGAGCGCAGCCTTGTTTCCCAAGAAATAAGCCTGCTAACAACTTATGTCCTGTTTGCAGCATTAGTTCTTACACTGTTTCAAGCACGGCCAGCTGCCAAGAGGCGTACAGAACTGGCTTCTCATCTAGCCAGCAGGCTTGAGTTTGTTCAGGATCACTTTGGGTTACTTTAGAGTGGCAAGGGGAAAGCCCTGTTTATCAGCCACATGCAAAGTAGCACCTAAAATATTCCAGCCATCATATTGAGAAGTACTCTGCAGAGGTGATTTTCAGATGTCTCCATGCTGGAGCCATAATCAGCCCTTAGTAACACTCAGGGAGGCTGAAAGTGACATTTTGTGAGTTTGACAACTTCTGGACTACTGTATATGACCTCTGGAAAAACAAAGCACATGTGAACTGTGTGCTGAAAAGGGAAGTAATTCATCGCCAATATTAAAATAATTTCTTTGCAGAGAACATGCTTGGGATATTTAGTTGTAGCTTCATTGGTCCCACAGAATCCAAAGTAAGATTGGAGGATACATAGCTAATAATTGCACAAAACAGAAATGTAAAATTAACTGTCAACAACAGAGAGAGAGAGCAAAGATGAATATAGATGTTCTCTCCTAGTCGCTTGATAGATAGTGGCCTATTCATCAAATACATACAAGCGTACTACTCTCTTCAAACACATAGTGTACATTCACCAATGTGTTATTGTATTCGTGTGGTTTTTTTATTACTGCAATAGCTGCAATTTGCACACTGTATGCACAGCTACAGATTGTCACTTAAAATCTCTGGTGAGATGATGAGAATTCAGTTCCGTGAATAAAGGAAGGTCACATTGAACCCCTTAGTTTAACAAATCCTTTAGGGTTGTGCTGGTAGGGTTTTGCATATGGGAATAAAGGAAGGGAGCTTCCTTTATTTGGATTGAAATCTCCCTCTTGCTCACTAGGTGTCAGTAGGGTAATAGGGTAGGGTAGAAAGTAATTATGGTGCAAAGTGCCTTGAGTCTGCTCCAGAGCAATGAATCGGTTCCTCCCAAAGTTATGGCTAGATTCTTTTACTCTAAAATTAGTCTTAATTACTAGGATTTGGTAGGATTCATCAAAGTCTTTAACTTCCTTCTATGCTCGTTGGAGAGTTGGCACAAGGGCAGCCCACCCACATGGAGTAAGTCTGTGGTGTCCCACCCCCCAACCTCCCAGCAGTACAACTATTTCCCTTTTCACAGACCTCTGCAGCCTGGCAGTGGGGACGAAAAGAAAGTACCCATTTGCTTCATGTATCTTTAGATAGATAGGCCTTCCAAACTCATTTTCAAAGCCCACTTGAGTTGCAGGGGCAAATAACAGCCACTTTATTCAGCTACTTCAGAAAGGCTCGTCAAATGTTTTAAATAAAACAGATATTTTAGGGGTTTGTGGATACTTTAGTGGCATTCGCAACCTGACTTTGCATGTAAGCATACAGCCACTTACATGGTTAGCAGTGTTTCAGCCTCATGCTGTTGCCACGAGTGCCATAAGGTATGAAAGGGAGATGTCCATCTGCGCACACACGGTGGGCATGCGCCAGGGAATTGTGGCAATTCCCTGGCATGCGCTGCTGTGCTGAAAGATGCCCAGCTGCTTATCCAGGAGAACATTATTGAGTGGACGCACTTTGCAAAGCCTGCCCGCCTCCCAAAATGTGAGAAGCAGCTGTGCTAAGTTAGAGGGCACGCTGCCGATTCTGAGAGAGGTTTCTGTGTGTAGCTTTGCTTGTTAGGCTTATTTGCAAAGGGGAAAATTAGCAGTTCCTTGCCATTCTTTCTTTGGTTAAGGGGTGGAGGGAGAGTGGGACTTGCCTGAAACAAAAAGGCATATAACATTTGTAGGAATCACAGTCTTGGGTGCAAGATTTCCATCCTGTCTCAGGAAATAACCCTCAAGCCTAAAGGGATGGAGGTATCAATATAATGCTTGTTCTGTCAATGTGGAGAAGAGTGGAACCTAACATGCTTCCCCAACCCATGTGTTATTATAAACTGCTTGTAGATGAGCTAGCCCTGGGTTATTTTTTTCATTTTTTAAAGCCAAGCCAGCTCTTAGTTCTATTGTGAATCTTTCGCACAGTTCTATTGCTGTTTTTCCTCTGATTCTTTTTTTTTAAAGAAGGTTTTTTGGGGGGTTGTCTTTGATTGTCTGCCCTAAGCCATGAGGATAGAAGACTGTTTGCAATCATTGGAAAACAAACCAGGCCGCTGTATTTTCCCAGTAGCTTGGGAGAGTGGTTTAGATACCCAGCTCCTGTGTTAAATCCATTAATGATGCCTATGCTGAACAATTTGCACCAGGTTTTGTGGTATAATTGAATGTGTAAATAGCTATTTAATATGGGTTGAAAATGGTCTATTGTAAAATGTAAATTGGATTTTAGACATTTTAAGGACAATGATGTTTGAATCATAGCTGCTCTTTTTTCAGAGATGCTGGGGTTTATTTTTGCCAAGTCTGCATGTGAAAGCCAAACCTGTACAATAAGAGAGGAGTAGCTTCTTTCCAAATGTGAAACACAAATCATCTCTTGTTGCCTTGTGTAATTTAAATCATGCAATGCACTTTATAAAAAAATCAGTAGAATTATTTAAAGAGACAAATCTATATTTTAATTATAGTGGTGGTAAATATGATGAAGACCTAGAGGCGAATGCTATCTTTTTATTCCTCTGTACATCTTTGGGCTTTTTTTCTAATGGATAAATAGATCTAATATTTAAAAAACCAAAACCTATTCCAGAGCTTTATTGATTGAATACTGTTTTCGTAGTTGTAAGTGTAGAATGCTGTTACCTTATTAATAAAAACGTACTGCTTTGTGAGAAAAAGATCATTTCACTTGAGTGATTTACTTACATATTATACATGTCTGCTCAGAATTAAATCCCATTGAGTTTAGTGGGGCTTACTCTCCCAGGCAAGTAGAATAGGATTGCCACTTCATTCTCTTTGGGACAAAGTTGAGCTGCTCATAACCAGGTTTTTAAAAGCAGATTTCCTGGCTGCACCAATTCCCCGTTATATACCCCACAAAGAAGAAGAAAATCCAAATGTACACAGAGCTTTGCTCCACTCTTGCACCGGTCGTGGTGGTGTCTCCATAGGAGTCTGTAGTTCTTATCTACTATACAGTGGTACCTCGGGTTAAGTACTTAATTCGTTCTGGAGGTCCGTACTTAACCTGAAACTGTTCTTAACCGGAAGCACCACTTTAGCTAATGGGGCCTCCCGCTGCCGCCGCGCCGCCGGAGCCGATTTCTGTTCTTATCCTGAAGCAAAGTTCTTAACCTGAAGCACTATTTCTGGGTTAGCGGAGTCTGTAACCTGAAGCGTAGGTAACCTGAAGCGTATGTAACCCGAGGTACCACTGTATAGCGACAATTCATTTAAGAACCTGCCTTAGTTCAGTAACTAACAGACACAGTAAAGGAGCTCTTCAAGGATATTTTCAAAGATGCAACATGCCTGAAGATGAAAGCAAAGAAGAGTTTCTGTCCCCAAAGAAGGTGTTTCAACATGCTTTGGGCAGTTTCTTTTAAACACTGAAACAGCGTGTATTCTAATTGGAGGGGGGGGCCTGTGGGCTGAGATTCCTGCATTGCAGGGAGTTGGAATAGATTAAGGTTACCAGATTTTTTTCAATGAATCCGGGGACAATTTTCAATTTCCTACTAAATAGATGGATTTTGTCAGGGGACTGATTTGTAAATCTTGTCCCCGTGAAACGGGGTCGTCAGGTAACCTTAGACTAGATGACCCTGGGGAAGCACAATTACACACACACACTTTAGCACAAGGTTATTCAAAATCACTGCTATCTGCCATCCTCATTTGTACCAAACATTAGAAAATGGGAAGAAGCATTGCCAGAAGTCCCTGTTCCACTCTGCATGAGCAGGAAATGCTTTGTTTGGTCTGCAGACTGTCTCGCTCCTCTAGAGGGGTAAAAACTGCCTTTTTTGGAAGGAGGTTTCTCAAATTGGGAAAGAAAAAGCAGAAGAAAAAGAATAAAATGCTTGTCCCCTAAATATACTTACACATGGCTTCTATTTGTGTTCAGGAAGGTGGGTGGGTAGGACAATTACTGCTTTAAAACAACAACTCAACAACCTTCACCCTTCCTTAAGGAGGGTCACAACAAACCTGTGAGGTAGGATAGACTCATAGCTGTCAACTTTCAGATTTGAAAATAAGGGCTTAGCAGCCTCAAAAATGGAAGAAAGATCTAGAAATATGGTCAAGGTTGAGACTTTCCTTGTTAGGCCGAATTGCTGTCATCAAGATGAATGTATTGCCTAGAATGTTGTTTTTATTCCAGACACTCCAGATCTTGGACAAGATGGACTGTTTCAAGAGGTGGCAAAAAGACATATCAAAATTTGTCTGGCAGGGCAAAAAGCCCAGAATAAACTTTAAGATCTTAACTGATGCAAAAGACAGAGGGGGTTTTGCCCTGCCGGACCTGAAACTTTACTATGAATCGGCAGCGTTCTGCTGGTTGAAACAATGGCTGCTTCTTGAGAATACAGACATTTTGGATCTGGAAGGGTATGACAATAGATTTGGTTGGCATGCATATATATGGTATGACAAGGTAAAAATGCATAAAGGTTTTAAAAACCATATTGTTAGGAAAGCATTGTACAATGTCTGGATAAAATATAAGGATCTATTGGAAAGTAAAACTCCCAGGTGGTTATCACCAATGGAGGCTAAAGAGACTAAAAAACTTAACATGGAGTCCAAATGGCCAAAATATTGTGAAATTTTAGAACAAGATGGTGAAAGAGTTAAATTACAAAGTTATGACAAATTAAAGTCTAAAGTACGACATTGGCTGCATTACCTTCAGATAAACGAGGTATTTAAACAGGACAGGAAAATAGGTTTTCAGATGGAGAGGTCGAAATTAGAAACAGAATTGTTAGAACCCAATACTAAGAACTTGTCAAGAATGTATAATTTGCTGCTGAAATGGAATACACAAGATGAAACAGTAAAATCAGCTATGATCAAATGGGCACAAGACATAGGTCATGACATTATGTTTGATGATTGGGAACAGTTATGGAATACAGGTGTTAAGTTTACGGCTTGTAATGCTTTGAGAGAAAATATAATGAAAATGATCTATAGATGGTACATGACCCCAGTCAAACTTGCAAATATTTATAATTTGCCCAATAATAAATATTGGAAATGTAATGAGACTGAAGGTACTTTCTACCACCTTTGGTGGACCTGCCCGAGGGTTAAGGCCTACTGGGAAATGATCTATAATGAAATTAAAAAGGTCCTTAAATGGACATTTCTTAAAAAACCAGAGGCTTTTCTCCTGGGCATGGTGGGCCAATTGGTGCCAAGGAAGGACATAACTTTTTTTATGTATGCTACTACAGCGGCAAGAATCCTTCTGGCAAAGTATTGGAAGACGCAGCAGTTACCCACTCTGGAAGAATGGCAAGCGAAGGTGATTGACTACATGGGAATGGCGGAGATGACCGGCAGAATCCGTGACCAGGGGAGTGAGACAGTGGAAGAAGATTGGAAGAAATTTAAAACATATCTTAAAAATTGTTGTAACATTGAGGAGTGCTGAGATGTTATGGGGTTAAGAAACAGAGAACTGCAGTTGTAAATCATAAGTCTAAGGAAATTATAATGAAGATGAGTCAATTAATTAAATGAAGAGTTGCTGTGAAAACGTAAAAATAAGGATGCAGAAAAAGGGAGGTATGGGGAAGTCCGGGAAGTAAGGTGAAGGAAAATAAGTTTATGAAATTATACATGTTTATTTGTTTGTATGTTTTGTTCTGTTTTATTGTTTGTTTTTATTAGATGTTTGGAAAATTAATAAAAATTATTTTTTTAAAAAAAATAGCAGCCTCAAAAATAAGGGATCAGCAGCCTCACCTGTCCTGGGAACAGTCTACGGGATATATAACTATCCGGGATAGCAGCGGGAAATGGAATAAGGGAATTTCCCGCAAAAAAGGGAAGGTTGACAGTTATGGATAGACTGAGAGGGAAGGAGTGACTGGCCCAAAGTGAGCATGTGCAGCTGAGGGAGCATTTGAACCCAGGTCCTGTGCAAGACGACACGCAACCCACCACAGTGGCGCGTGTGTGCGTGTAGCTTGGGCTTTAATCATTTGAGAAACGCGTCTCGAGACCATGCCTGGGCGCTCCTCACGTTATTTTTCCGAGACATGACGAAGAAGCATTGTGAGGCTGATGGCTTCAACTCCCAGCCCGCTTTTTCGTTGTTTAGTCATTTAGTCGTGTCCAACTCTTCGTGACCCCATGGACCAGAGCACGCCAGGCACTTCTGTCTTCCACTGCCTCCCGCAGTTTGGTCAAACTCATGCTGGTAGCTTCAAGAACACTGTCCAACCATCTCATCCTCTATCGTCCCCTTCACTACTTGAAGAAGTTGGTTCCAGCCTTATGTCGTATTCATTAGCCCGAGGGAGTGGGCTCTCGTCCATAAATTCATGCCACAATGAATTTGGTAAGTCTCTAAGGTGCCACAGAACTCTCTCCTGATCTGGCTGCAACAGATTGATAGCAGGGGTAGCCAGCGTGAACTACATTTCCATCATACTTGAGCATTGGCCATGCTGGCTGAGGATTATGGGAACTGTAGTTCAAAACATATGGAGGCTGCCTCACTGATCACCCTTTTAAGGGATAGAATTATTGTTTAGTCGTTTAGTCATGTCTGACTCTTCGTGACCCCCTGGACCAGAGCACGCCAGGCACTCCTGTCTTCCACTGCCTCCCGCAGTTTGGTCAAACTCATGCTGGTAGCTTCAAGAACACTGTCCAACCATCTCGTCCTCTGTCGTCCCCTTCTCCTTGTGCCCTCCATCTTTCCCAACATCAGGGTCTTTTCCAGGGACTCTTCTCTTCTCATGAGGTGGCCAAAGTATCGGAGCCTCAGCTTCAGGATCTGTCCTTCCAGTGAGCACTCAGGGCTGATTTCCTTCAGAATGGATCGGTTTGATCTTCTTGCAGTCTATGGGACTCTCAAGAGTCTCCTCCAGCACCATAATTCAAAAGCATCAATTCTCCGGCGATCAGCCTTCTTTGTGATCCAGCTCTCACTTCCATACATCACTACTGGGAAAACCATGGCTTTAACTATACGGACCTTTGTTGGTAAGGTGATGTCTCTGCTTTTTAAGATGCTGGCTAGGTTTGTCATTGCTTTCCTCCCAAGAAGCAGGCGTCTTTTAATTTCGTGGCTGCTGTCACCATCTGCAGTGATCATGGAGCCCAAGAAAGTAAAATCTCTCACTGCCTCCATTTCTTCCCCTTCTATTTGCCCGCTTTTTCACCCCTCCATAAAATCCCCCTGATGGTTCATCCCCAGCAATATTTCCCAAACTTGTAGTCGTTATTTCTGGACTACAAGTCCCATCATCCCTGACCACTGGGTCTTGCTAGCTAGGGATGATGGGAGTTGTAGTCCAAAAAAACAGCTGAGACCCGAGTTTGGGAAACAGGAGGCAAGGACTTCGTAGTG